GCCGGCGTCCTCGCCCGGGAAGAGCACAATGATGGTGCCAACTTGGGCCAGTGAAGCAACGTCCTCCACAATGAGACTGAAGAACAAAACGACAGCAACTTGTCTGTTCCCCTTCCCCCAGTTCCCCAGCGCTGTTCCCATCCCCCCAATTCCCCAATAAAAATCTTAAAAAAAAAAAGCAGGGGCGGCCTGTGTGCACTCTAGGGGGGAAGCAGAGTCCTTCTCGTGGAACTGAAAAGGATGAAGGCAAGGATGAGCGAAGGGAGAAGGAAGGAGTTCATCTAAAAAAAGGAAACAGATGGTTCAATCCCACTCATCTCTCACCCAACCCAGAGGTCCAAGAGACAGGAAGTCAGAGGGAGACGGAGCCAGACAGGAAACGGAAGCAGAGACGTCCACGGGGAGAGAGCGGTCTCAGCAACGTGGAGGTGGGCCAGTCTTCACTGGAATCACCAGGAACCTTCGGGATGGCAGTGCTGACAGTCGGGTCTGTGGGGGTCTATGCTGCATGCGGTAAAGCCCCTTCCTAGCCCCAATCGCTCAGCAATACTCCCTCATGCGAATGGGCATCAGTGGAGACTGTTGTTCTCAAATGTAGAGTCATTAGCAGGAATGGCCCAAGGTGACCAGGAGCAGCCTGGGGGAAGGCATCGTGAAGCAGGCGACCAGTGCAGGCGACCACCCAGGTACCCCTGGAAATACTGGGGGGGGGGGCAACCCAGGACTTTCCATAGGAACACAATGAGGGCTTGAGTTATTTCACTGGGATATTTAAAGAAAGGGTGACCTTGAGGTTTAAGGACTTCATCCCCAGTCTATAAGGAAGGTTTTATCTCTACTTTACAGATGAGGAAAGCGAAGCACACTTTCATGAGCTCCCAGAGCCCGCTGTCCAGGGGTGGAAGTGGACTTGACCCTAGGTCTGATCTAAGCCAACGTTCACTCCCTTTCTGTCCACCAGGCTTCCCCCGAAAGGGATGTGAATGCGTCTCTTTTTTCTGAGCAGACAGGGCCTGGGAACGAGTAATGTGAGAGAAAGGCTGCAGCTGGTACGCAGCGATTCCAGGGACCTCTTTTATTTTCATCAAAAAGATGCTGAAAACATCACCCTTAGCAAAAGGAGGCCTAAATAAGGGTGAACAAGAGCAACTTTGTGTCACCCACCTGATTCTTGTGTTTTCAACAACCCCGGCCTGGGCTCCCAATAATGGTCAATCCTATGGGACAAGGAGGTATTCAAACTGTGGCCTGGCTTTGTGAAGAAAGGTGGAATGTAGCAAAGCAAACAGATGCATTGAAAAAGGCTTTGCAGCTGTGGTGACCCCCACTCCTTCTCCCAACTTATATGTATTGATGAGAGGAGAAGGGCTGGCTGAAACAGTATTAGAGTTCAGCAAGATAGGTGGCAGACTGACAATTAAAATATTTTGTCAGGGATTTATGACTGGGCGGATATATGTATTAGGGGAAACGCAAGACAGTATTTCAACTGGGCCTGGCCCAACCAGAAGAAGGATTCCGGGGCACTGCCCTGTAGCAGCTCCCCTGTGCTTGAAGGAGAATATGGTCCTCTCCACAGACCTCTGTACAGCTCATCACAAGGTCCTCCAAGTCCGACCCAAGAACCCTGGCCACCTCGGCGCTGTGCAGAGAGAAGACAGTCACGCAGACCTGGTGGCCAGGAAGATGATGTGGAAGGAGTGACGACTGTCCCCAGAGAGGTCAAAGTCACACATTCATAACAGAAGGTGCTAAGCAGCCCTGCGCCTTGAGCAGCATCATCCCTTGGCCCAAAGGTCATTTTCCAGGACCCTAGGCACAGCCCTGTCACTCTGCGAGGAAATGGCACGCAGGCGCATGGGACCCTTTACAGAACCCAGTCCTGCTGTTTGCAGTAGGAAAATACCTGAAAACTACCAAGGCTGTGACCTTGAAGTCAGGTGGTGTGTGTGTCAACCTGAACTCTTCATTGTTAAAAATTTATCTTCAGAAGCTCTCCCCAGCTTTTGATAAGTATATCTCTTTAGTACAAAATGGACAAGTCCATCCAAATTTAGAGAACTTTTACTTTTTAAAAAATGAACATGAATAAAATTTTTTTAGAATTTTAAAAAATTTTAATTGTGGTAAAATACACAACATAAAATGTAGGGCTTAACCATTTTTGAAGAGTACAGTTGAGTAGTGTTAAGTATATTTGCATTGTTATGAAACAGATGTCTAGAACCTTTTTATCTTGCAAAAATGAAATTCTATAACCATTAAAGAACACTCCCATTTTTTCTTTTTAGTTTTGAGCTTTAAAAGTCCTATTAATAGATCATGGTGTAGGGTAATTCAGTTTCCAGTTCAGAAATTTCTGGAAACATTATTCAAGAAGTCTTAAAAAGAATCACCACCTTCCTCCGCCCCCACCTGAGAGTTTGCAGGAAAATGGTAAGGGATGGAAAGGCAGAACAGAGAGAAGCAGAAGCAAAGTAAATGAATATTTCATAAGCAGGAGTGCTGGGAAGAAGAATCTGGGTGCTGCATTTACACCATGAGGTCACCTTGGGTTTGAGTGGCTGAGTTGGTTGGGTCATCCCTGCCTTCGACCTCATTAACTTCCACAAAACGATTGTGCTGCCAACAGGGCAATGAGCCCTGAGACCCACCTGGACTTGGAGGCCCCTGTGCGCTGCCCCAGGCCCTTGGACGTGACCACCACCAGGCAACATGCGTAAAGGCCAGTTCCCCTCTGGGCAGACTGCTAAGTAACTTCTAGCAGGAAAATGGCCCTAAATATTTGGGGTTGGAAAATAAGAGCCATTCCAAATCCAAACTTGAAACCCACCCAGATTTCACACCGTAACTGCTTTTGTGAGGATTAAATTGTCTCCAGGACCTGACTTCAAACACACACACACACACACACACACACACACACACACACACACACACACACACCAAGAATAACTTCACAGGGAAATATTTATTTCATGAGACTCTCACGGGCTGTCCTTTGCCCTCTCCCAACAACAGATGAATTCCTGCCCACAGAGGGAAACCATGACCCTGCTCTTTGAAGCAAGCAGACCGAGGCTGCTCTGAGTGACACGGAGAGGAAGTCTCCTGGCCTGGCACAAAGAGGGTCTCACAGACACCCGCCCACATCTGTGGCCACAGACACAGCATGCATGGAAAAGTCCAGCAGGCCCTGCACGGCAGCAGGCGGGCCCTGGGGCTGTAATTCCAGGACGAACCAACCACAAAGGGAGGCCCAGAGCCCAAATCAGGCAGGCCTTCAACATTCTCTCTGGACAAGCCTTAAAAACACCTTTGCACTAGCAGTCCCACTAATCATAACCTAATTTAAGTCAGAATCCTCTGATTGAATAGTCCTATAATTTATATTATACAATAACCCCAAACTCGCACAATGACATAGAAACAAAGATGTTCACTGTGGGCTTCTTCACAGAGCCAAAATATTGGGAACAACTGCACTTCCAACTCTAAGGGGCAGATTAAAAACATGGCATTTTGTCCACGAACCAGGATAAAGGCATCCACAAGACAGATGGTCTCTAATAGTTTTAACGACATGAAAAAAGTTTTGCACTTAATAAATACGAATATATAACAAAGGATCTGTCTGGTGTGGGGGTAAGTAGGCAGGTCAATAGACCCATCTTTCTCACCAATACGGTTTGTGTTCTAAAAATTCACAGTTGGCTGGGCTGGCTGAGTGGCTCAGTTGGTTAAGAGCTCGCTCAAGAGTTTGAGCTCTGAGCAACAGCGGTTTGAGTCCAGCGTGAGCTGAGCAGCCGCTGAGCTGCCAACAGGTAGCAGGATGGCTCAGCTCAAAACAAAACAAAACAAAACAAAACAAAACAAAAACTCACAGCTGGCAAAGCAAGATCAAGGCTCTTATGGAATTGAGAGAAAAGCAATAAGCGACATTCAATGTGCTTTAAAGATGCAGTCAATGTAAGTTCATGGTGGTGGGGCAGGGGTGGATGGCTATAGAAATAGTATAATGGATACAGTGGTACCCAAGGACGTCAGAGCTGGTGGTGCCTTTCCCCCAGGCAGTGCTGGGGGGACTGGGAAATCCAGGGGGCAGCAAGGCGTGGTATCACACTAGACAAGAGTGGAAAAGACTCGCTGGTGGAGAACGCAAAGGAGAGATGACCCAAAGCTGTGCGCCTTGTTCCCTACGGGCTGACTAGGAGTGGACAAGAATGTGGAAATCCCTACAGGTCCTAATAAAGGCCCTGAGGGATGTTCTGGGGGCCAGCTTCCTTTCCTGGAGATGTCTGGTCAGGATGAAGAGGCTGCTACCTACAGGCTCCACATGGGCACAAACTCGTAAGCTCTGAAAGGCCAGACAGAGCCAGCCACAAGCCAGACCAGATCAGCCTGTGCAGTGAAGGTGCCAGCAAGGATCCAGATGACCCCTGTGAACACAAGCCCCCTTCTTCCCACCACCCTGAGGTCACAGCGAGATACCATCCTATGAAAATCGGACCAGGGGAATACAACCTAAAGAAACGAGCATTTATCCAAAGACACAGGCTTCCAAGTGCTGCCACTTAACAGAAAGAGACTATACATAGTCAAGTTTACAATGAACTTCTACCACCTCCTCTACCCAGTATAGTGGGAGCACTCAAGGACAATTACATGTGTCACTGAAAAAAATTTGTATGTAATTTTTTTTTGCTTGCTTGGGTGGAGTGAGTTTTCAACCTTGAAACATGTTTCACCTTAAACTTTTAGTAGGCAAACCACAGTTGACACGTTACCTTGAGGCCCCAAATGTTCTTGGTGTTGCTGAGTGGGATTAGGGGAGATTTTTATTTGCCTCCTTTCTGCTTACCTATGTTTTCAAAATATTTTGCAATAGGTGTGTTGTTGTTGTTGTTGAAGAAGATTGCTTGGTTTACTTTCATGTGTCTTGGCGAGACACCTGCTCTCCTGTTCTGCCGGAAGTGGGACGTGCCAAAGGACAAACTCACCTGGCAACGGGCAGCCAAGGATCTCCATTCTCATGCAGATGCTCCCACTGTCAAACCAGGACTGCGGGTTGATGCGAATGTAGCGGGCCACCATGGGGACCGGCAGCTCATTGAGCACAGGGATCTCCTTTTCACTGTTTCCTTCAAATATCTAGTTACGCACAAGGAGGGAAAGGAGAACCTTTTAGAGCTTGATTATCAAGGCATAAAAGAGTCAGTAATTCGCTCATTGCACAAGGTCTTACTGAAGGGAAAAGAGAACTGAATCAGGCCTGGACCGTGCCTTGAGGAAGCCCCCATCTTCTGTGGGGAGAGGGTGATGCTTAGATGTCAGAGCTGAAATCTAGTAGTGTCACGGCAAAGGGACAACCACAGAGCTCTGGGTCTTTGGGAGGAAAGGACCAGGCAATGTTTCTAAGATGAGGTGCCTGCCATGTGAACTGGCCTTCAAGGAAAACTCTTTAGATCTGTCGGGACGGGAGGGATTCTAGAGAAAAGGAGCAGCAAAAGCTGGAGAAGCCCAGAGGTGGAATTGAGAGGGAAAAGAGCAACTGGCTCACTTTTTCTAGAACACAGGAGTGTGTGCTGGGGTAAGAACAAGAAAGAAGGTTGAAAACAGAGGCTGCGGTCAGATGGTGCAAGACACTGCACGCCACGTCAGGAACACGCACTTGAGAACCAGAGGAAAGGAGTGACATGGTCAGAACTGGCTAACCTGGAGCGAATCGTGGAGCTGAGAGATGGGGGTCATTAAAGCAGGTTGGGGAACTATTACAACTGAGTAGCTGGGAGGGGCCTCAGCTTACCCAACGGCCACCCAACTTCCAGGGCTGACCTGTAAACTGTGGAGGAGACTGCACCCCAGAAGCTCTGACTTTTACATGAGCCCTAAACGTGGGCTACTTGGTGCCGAGCTTCTGGCATGGAAGTGGGGGTCACTGTCCCTCAGACTCAGTGGTCGATTTGAGGTGACATGGAGGCAGCAAACACCCAGCTGCAAACCCAGGCAGGGCACACAGGGCCTCTCTTTGCAGAGCCCTGCACAACCAGGCCCTGCGGTCAGAGGGCAGCAGGGACTCACCATGTCTTCAGATCCATTCTTAATGGTGGTCCATGTATGGCTGTCGTTGCTCACCATGACCTTATAGGAGGTCACCCAGTCACTCCTAAGAGAAAATAAAACACCATTGGGACTACACATGGTTTTTTTGGTTTGTTTTTTTTACCTGTTTACCTGTTTCAGGTAGAGGTGTAGCAGTAAGAAGAGTAGGCCCTGGGTGACTCCCTGGCCCCACTGCTCACCCTCCCTGGGCCTTGGCCAGATAACTGACCACCAATGCCACTGTGCCATTCTCCATAAAATGGGAATCACTAAAGTTACCGAGCTTAAATGAGGAATGTGAGCATTAAATGATCTAGTGCCCTTTAAACACTTAGGACAATGCCTAGCCCCTATTAAGCACTAAATGTTGGTCACACACAATGAGATACACTAATGTGTATATACTTGTTTATATTGAACATTGGTATCATACACGGTAGTAGCTTAATAGAGTGCTGTGTGACAACCTCAGGAAAAGTTGCAAGTTAGTCTGAAATTTCATTTGGGAAACGTAACTAACTAGATCCCACCAACCACAAAAACAACAGCTTGAGTCTCTGAGAGACACTGGGTTTCTCCTTGGCTGTCACAGCCATGTAGTCAATCCCCCCACCACCCAGAAACAACCCAGTGACAGCTGGGCCCAAAGCCAGGCCCCTGTCATCACGTCCTACTGCACAGAAATTACTGGGGGAAAATGGCCACAATGTGACTTCCCAGAGTGGAGGTCAATTTGATAGGTGTGGCAAATAAACAACCTTAATGTGAAAAGCACATTTTCCCCTCTGCCTCGGTTTTTTTATAACATGAATCATTAAGCAAGAGAGAAAAGTCTTCCTGGGCACCTTTCTTCCTAATTTTTAAAATACTGGAAGGAAACATGATTTGCTAATCTTTTAAAGGAACATTCTGCCAGCTGAGCACTTGGAATCGTTGCCCTCCTGTGAAATCTTGGTCTCAGGATCCAGTTACATCTCAATAAAGTTCTGAGTTTCCAGTCCGAATCGATACTGTCTAGTAAAGTTTGATTAGAAAGAGCGCCTGGTTCCCTTCATTCTGGTTCATCTGACTGACTTGTCACAGAAATTATTCTTAAGTGTTTCATGCGTGTTTGGAAGCACACCCTCACCTCCAACCTTCTCCTCTTCTTCTCTCTCCTCCCAACCAGCTTTGTCTGAATTTCAGCTGGAAGCTGGAATCTATGCAACGTGTTCCTCCTCAGAGGGGTGTGGGCTCGAGCCCACGCCTGCAGATTCGGATGCTGTGAGTGTGCCTTTCGAAAGGCACCTCAGCAACAGCTCATGTCGTTTGCACTGGAAAAATGTCTTCACCCAAATAGCAGCCTGTTTTTCCACATTCAAATAATTTCCAACTGCAGTCCCTTTTGCTGTCTGTTTATCTGCTGATAATGCCCTGTGGTGATCCGGGGGGCACTCTGCAGAGGTGAGGGCTGTACCCTCCAGAGATGGAGCTGGGAAAGGTAGGAAAGCCTTCAGTCAAAAGCACACAAACATCAAGAGAGGGGTAGAAAGAAAAATTAAGATAAGTTCTCCAAATCAAAGGAGAGAGAGAGAAAAATGGAAATGACACCCAAGTAACAATTACATAATCTTAAAATATACTTATTGGGTTGTTGGAAAAGTCATGATGCATTTTTGCAATGAAAAACATAGAAAGAATACGTCATGACTTTTCTGACAATCCAATATACATATGGACAAATCCATGACTTATGTTTGAGGGGTAATTAGCTGTTTACATGGCTCAGACCTCTCTTTTGAACAGCTGACCTACATCATGTCCTTCTGCCAGTATGACCTCACCACTCAATGTCTCAGTGACATCACAAATTTAACATGCTCCAAACCAAACCATTCATTTCAAACCAGCCAACCTGGGGTCTGAGTCCCCGCCTCAGAAGAGTACCACCACCCACCCAGGGAGGCCAAATCCTCATAGTCATCCTTGGCACCCCACTTTCCCTCCCTCCCCTGTATTGACTCCATCACCAAGTTCTGTCAGTTTTATCTCCCACATCTTTCTAGAATCTTTCCAACTCTCCATCTTCACTGCCACCACCTCAGCCCATGTCCTCAGGCCAAGATTAATGCAGCTGCCTCCAGTTGGTCTCCTGGCATTTAAATTGCCTCGCCCCCACCCCAATCCATCCTGCCATCAGAGGCTTAATTTTCAAATGAAATATTATGTCATCCCTGCTAAAATACTGCTCTTACTTTAGTGTTTAAATCTTCATCCTGTTCTACCAAACCCTTGCTTACCTCTTGTTTTCTGTGCCCTTTCTTCCAATTCCTGATACTGATTATACTCTCTGTTGCCTCAGTGCCTTTGCACATACTGTTCCATCTGTCTGGACTTCTCTCTCATCCTTCGTCTGCCTCTAAATTATTCAGACTTCAAACCTTATCAGAGAAGCCTGTCCTAATCCTCCTACCTAGCCAATTTCTTTTCCTATATGGTCTTTTCTTTCATAGTTTAATTTCGTTTTAAATCCTTTCTAGAATTATCTGATAGTGTCTTTATCCCCAATTGGAGTATAAGCATCTCACGGATGGAGCAAGGAAAGACGATGGTACTCCAGTACACAAAAGGATGCTGGCTCTCCTGGAGGCCAGAGTCAGGGACGGGACAGCATAACGTTTGGTTGAGTTCTTCCAAACATTTCAGAAAGAAATAGCACTTTAAAAAGCCATGCAATAGAAAAGGGGAAGTAGTTTACAATTATAAATTTGGCATAACCTTGATATCTAAATCTGATGAGGACATGACAAAAAGCAAAATTATAGAAAAGTTTCTTTCATGAGAATAGATACAAGAAAATCCTATGACTGAATCCAGCAATATAGAAACAGGATATTACATCACCACCAAGTAGAATGTATTCCAGAAATACAAGCAAGGATGGTTTAGCCACAATTATAGTCATTCAATATAATTCACCACATAAACAAAACTAAGTAGAAAAATTGTGATCACTCTGATGGCAGAAAATGCATTTGAGAACATTCTATAGCCATTTGTGTTCAAAAGGAAAAAAAAACAATAAAAAACACCTCTTAAACTAAGATTAGAGAGGAACTTCCTTAATCTGAAGAAAAATATCTACAAAAAAACCCCAAAAACCCACGATGGAAGAATATAGCCTCGCCCCCTACAGTGAGGGGTCCCAGGGCACACACTGCAGAATTTGCTGGGACCCGCTTCAGTGGCTCCAAAGCTTGTATGTACTGACTCATTTCAAGAACTAAGTTTCTATAATGTGAAGAAAAAAAAAATCCACACAGCAGGAGTTGCACATTCTCCTGTTATAACATTAGAAAGTGGTTTGATAGCAGCTGGAAGACTTTATTCAGTATTTTCTGAACATGGACATGATATGGAGCTGCAGCAACTATCCTAAGCCCAAAGGCAGTAAGTGTGAAAAATGAATGTTTATTGATGTTGGCTCTGCCACAGTCAACCAGCTGAGTAAGTGCCCATGGCTGCAAACATCCAGAAGCTCTTGTCAAGTGAAAAGAATGAGGTCATACTTGATGAAAATAAAAACAACATGAAAAAAACCCTGACTTATATAGCAAATGTGTCAGTGATGTGCAGTAGGAAAATAATAATCAAAAATGAGTCAATTGGAAGCTAGAAAACAATGTGTCTTGACCTGTACCTCACACCATACAATAACCAACTCCAGATGGACTGCAGGTCTAAAGGTGAAAGGTAAAGCAATAAATCGTTTAGAAGAAAACAGCATGTACATATATGCTCAACTGTCTTAGTTTTCCAAAGTCATTGTCCCTATTGACACACATGAGTTTTTTGTTGAATATAGGTATTCCTAATATCGTCTCCAGTGTGTGTCTTCCTTTTCATTCTCATTGTGGTTATCTTTCCATGATGAGAATTTCTTAATCTTTACATAGTCCAATTAAATGTTTCTTTCTTTACAGTTTCCAGTATTCGTGCCCTTTTCAATAAATTTTTGCATACTCTAGATTATAAAGATATTCTCCCATGTTTTCCAATCTTGATATGTTGATTTTTCCCCCTCTTTTTGTAATCAGCCATGGGTTTATTAATTTTATTCATCTTTTCAAAGCATTAACTGTTAGCTTTCTTTACTCTCTATTATTTGTTTCCTATTAGACTGAACCATATAAAACTACCATTTTTATATAGATCAAAACGGTTGACTATCAGCAATTTTCTAAGGCTCAAATTAATATTTTATTAATTTCTACTTTTTATTATTTTCTTATTGGTACGTTCTTTACGTTGAATTTGCTATTCTTTTTGTATAGTTTCTAGAGGTTGCTGAATTTTGGTCTTTCTTCTTTTGTAATATATGCATTTAAGGTTATAAAGTTCCCTCTGTGCAGTGCTTTATTCCACAATTGTTCCATAATTTTGATGTCATATCTTCACTATCATTCAGTTCAAAATACTAATTCCTGTTGTTATTTCTTCTCTGATCATGGACTATTTAGGAGTATAATTTTTAAATTCCTAGGTGTTTGGATTGCTCTAGTTATTTTTCATTACTGATTTCTAGTTTAATTCCATTGTGGACAGAGAACATACAAGTACTTTGAATCATGTCAATCCCTTGACATTTGTTGAGACTTTTTTGGTGGCTTAGCATATGGTCAATTTTGGCTCCATGTGCTCTTGGAAAAAAATGCCGATTCTGTAATTGTTGTGTGCAATGTTCCACACACATTATTTTGATCAAACGTATTAACTGTGTTCAGATCTTCTGCATCCTTAATGATTTTTTTGTCTGCTTAGTCTATCAGTTATAGAAAGAGGTGTGTAAAAGAATGCCAATCTGATTATGAATTTATCTGTTTCTCCTAGTTCTCTCAATCTTTGCTATGTACTTACTATCAAGTTAGCTATTGAGTGCATACAGATTTATCACCATGGTGTATGAATGGTAGATTGACTTTTTTATGATTATGAAATGTCCCCTTTTATTTTTATCAGTGCTTGTTGCCTTAAAGCCAACTTTGTTTGCTATCAGGATAGCTAACCCTGCCGTTTTGGCTCCGA